ATTTTCAGAAAACTTGCTAGAAGAGTTTAGCGTATAACAAATTAAGGTAGTACGGGGAAACTGTTTTTTTGGATTTAACTTTTGAAAAGGTTTTAACACTTAAGTAGTTGTTTAATGGTTTACAGGAGTTATGCAACGGAGAGAAGTGAACATTTCTGTTGAGACAAGAATTTTTGTGTTTATTTATATTATGGTACTTCTCTGCATCTTCTGGGATGCTTCCTTCCTCTTCCCCCTCTATTTTAATAAACATGTGATGTGAATTTTTGTGCCTCCTGAGACCTGCAATATGAAGCACTACTTTGGACACGTACTCATCTATGGGTTTTTCTGTTTGCGTGTGTGCATCAAATTTCTTCTCACATATACGTGCGCTAATGTATGGGGATATGTCTGAAAACAAGAGAAATAAGTAGCTAGAAATATAATTGCTAAGTTTTCAGGATTTGCGCATGGTGCAGAGAACACTGGTAGGTCGTGGACTAATGCTTGTCACATAAATGTCCATCCCCTATTCTTATTTTCCATGTGTTTTATGCCTCATTTTCTGTTAATATATAGTTCTCAGTATTTTCTTCTTTATTAGGGAGAGAGAATAAAACTAGCTTAGTTGAAAATTGCACCAAGTATTGAAGCTTGGAGTACTTGCTTCAGAAAGCTAAATGGACTTTGAGTCTACCCTAAGGAATATTTTTTTACAACTTTCTATGCAAGTTATAAGCTTGGGAATGTTTGGGCAATATCATGAGAACTTTTATTCCTGATATCTTTAAATGAAACGTGTGTTTTCTTGTGTCTTTCTGTTTTTCCACAGAGTGGAATTTACCATGATCAAAGAAATTATAGCAGCCTTAGATATAGTAAACCAGCTTCTTCCTACCATACTCGGGTCTGTCTTTTCCTGTATTCACTCTATTTTTTTCCCTGTGCCACGTGCTCTAGGTGACCCTGCGTGTGCAGGGGGGTTGGGCTAGATGACCTCTAGAGGTCCCTTCCAACCTTAAGCATTCTATGTTTCTGTTCTATGATTTATAAAGCAAACTCCTCTCTCCTTTTCTATAACATTGCAAATGACTATAGCTAGCAGTAATTACAATTTTTTGTAACTATTTCCTTTCATAAAACTAGTCTATAATATGTAAATTATGTTCTGCATACATGGAGATTTAAAATGTCTTGAATTACTGTATGTATATAATATATACAAAAAAAGCTGCTGTGACACTTTTTTCTAAAAAGTCCTCCTCTCTCCTTTTCTATAACATTGCAAATGACTATAGCTAGCAGTAATTACAATTTTTTGTAACTATTTCCTTTCATAAAACTAGTCTATAATATGTAAATTATGTTCTGCATACATGGAGATTTAAAATGTCTTGAATTACTGTATGTATATAATATATACAAAAAAAGCTGCTGTGACACTTTTTTCTAAAAAGTCCTATTTAACTTAAAACAAGGCTATTAAAGCTCAGCACCAATATACTGCTTTCTTCTATAGTGATATAAATGATAAACTGATGCTCTATGATGAGAGGAGTAGCAGCTGCAGTAATTTCAGAAGTTGTCATGGTCAGATTAAATAAGTAGCTAGAGAAAACTGGCATATCTTTTGATAGTTATTTAATTTCATGTTATACTTTTATTCAGTATTTTAATCTCTAGAGCTTTTTTCTTTGCTGAACATAGAACAATAGATACACTCACTGTACACAGAAAAAGCCTTTGACTTTTTCTGTTCTTCGCACTACAGTCGTCTTCTCTATGCAGTGATCCAGTGGCAACTACTAGGAGTTACAGGGTTAGTACAATGTGAAAGAATGTTTTGCTTAATGTTAGTTGTTTTATTTGCTCTCAAATTTAAAATTACCCTTCTCTTTATAGGTGTCTCCTTCTGTAAATACTGGTTTAATAAGAAGTAGCAGTTTGGTTCGTAAGCACCATTTGCATGGTTGCCTTAAGTTTGTGTTGTATGGCCGTGTGGATTGAGCATATTACATCTGCATTCTTTCCATATTTCTAAAGAAAACTAAAGCTTGTGTGTCTTATTTTGGGGAGACCTTAGTTAAATGCTTTTAATGTTGCTAGATTTCCTCTTAAAATATTTTGGTAATTGCTGTTTTGCTGCTCTTTTTGTGGACATGCATAAAATTTGAATAAAAGTTATATTAAACAAAGGAGTTCTAAAGAACAAGTCAAACCAGACATATTTCTAAAGAAAAAAATGTGTGTCTTGTATGTCTAGTTTTTCATACTAGTCTAGTATGAAAAAAATCTAGTTAAGTTTCAGAATAAGCAAAAATCTGAATGGGTAAATCATTGTCTTGAGGTTATAGAAATTTGTGGTAAGTGTACTTTAAAATTCTTTCACATGGCATGCATTATTTAAGATTAGTAATCATGCAAAACTAAACTCCTTTTGGAAAATCTGCATGGTTGAGGCAAAGTAAAACTCTTTGATAACCCCTTTGATAAGGTTCCCGGGCTGAGCTAAGTAGTGGAAAAGTAAATTGCGCTTTAAACATTTAATTTTCTTGTGAAAATTAAGACTTCTTATTTTTCAAGGAAAATCTTAGGTTTGTAGTTGGAAGTAAAATTCCCTAATAGGGCGAAGAAATACTGCTGGTAAAGAAAATACTGTTCTCCATCCTTTCCAAAAGCATAGCGGAAAAGGGAAAATGCATTGATATTATGAGATAATAGGAGGTTTCACTGCTCAGTATCTTCCAGTGCATAAAAATGTGGCACTGTTTTTTCCAAGGCCAAATGTAAGAACTTTTCTGTTCCCTTTTTCTCAGGCATCTTTGTGTGGTGATGGATTTCATAGCTCGTATAGCTCTCGCACTGTAAGTGTAATAAGCTCTTGGTCATTTCTTTGAAAATTTTTATTTTCTGGAGATTAAAATGTATAACAATTGTGAAAATTTACTTCATCACTTCAGCCATCTGAATACAGTTACTCTTCGAGAGCGAGCTCAATTCGAAGTAGCCCTGTGGTGAGCGTTCCTCTCTCATGTCTTACTGAGCACTTCGCTACTAACACACGGGAGTTAGGGGGCTGCTTGGCAGTGTGGGTCCTTTTTGCCGCTTAACATTCACTTTCTGTGCTCTTTCTGTGGTTATTTTTTGCTGTCATTGTGGGTAGCTCATTGAAAGTGTCAGCTGAGTATTCACTGGAAGTCAAAATGGAAAGTAAGAGAAAACTTGAACAGATGGGAAAATACAGTTGAGAAACTATGGTGCATCTCAAATTCAAAAACTATCAATTCTGATAAAGGGGAGCGGTTTGTGCAGCATATAATATACCTAGCATTTATTTAGGAATCCGGAAGTATCTTTGCTTAAATTGGGGTTAGACAAAGTCCTGGAGGACATGTGCATATGGTGGTTCCCCTGGTTGGTAAAGTGGCGCTGATCATTTCTAGAATCTGCAACAGTTTAGCAAGAGAGGATCAGTCTTTAGGTGCTGCAGTTTCAGGTGCTAGTTTAAGAGCATTGTGCTAGTTCGCCTTAGGCTTTCTTATGGAGATTTTGAAGGTGTTTCCACTCATTCAGTCAATTGTAATGAAGCAATTCTCTACTTTGGGAAGAAATAAACTGCTAAATTTTTGTTTAAGTTGTAGAAGAACTTCTTTTTTTCCCATTGGTCAACATTAAAATATATACATTGTGTAAAGTGTGTATTGACTGTGATTCACAAACTGAAGTTGTTGTTGTTACTGTGCACTCCCATTATGCTTGATTTGCAGAGAATAAGTATATTAGGCCCTTAATACTAACTAATTTTGTAGCCATTTTTGAGGATTTTAAAATGTAAAGCATGCCTAATGTTTTCAGCTTAAGTGTTTCTTTTGAAGACCCTTCCTGCAGTTCAGGAAAACTGTCTGAATGTCTGTTTTTCAAGTGTGTGATTTGTTATCTTTTTTAGAATGTTCTAATTATCTGCATCTCTTTTTCTATGCAGAATGGCTATCATCAATCACACTGTGCAAATTATTCATGCAAAATAGACAAACCTTATGTTTCAGCCTAACAACTTTATTACTATTATAAAAGAAAGGTTTATCTTTTAAACCTTGTAGTGTGCAGATGATCAAATAGAGAGTATAGTATCCAGTAATCATACCATAAAAGAGCTGAAGGATAGGATGGTGAGCTGGGTTGCATGCTTCTATTTGAAGTTTTCTTATTCCTTAACTTTTCTTAATTTGTTGTGTTTAGTGTATCGTGTACTAATAACTTTGTAACAGCAAAGATGTGTCTTTTGCAAATGAAAAAGAGTGTACAGTTGTTATAAGTGTCACTTCAATAGGTGCGCAGTACTTTGCTTTCCTATGAGAATCGTAATGCTGTTAGATACATCATGCCTTGATGGCAAGAAGTGCTGTGTCCTATTGGTGTATTTCCCTCCCCCTTTTTTAGGTCCTTGTCTGACATTTGACCTTGGGGGAAAAGCTTATCTTCTGTTGTAGAGAGTCTTAAAATTTTGAATAGCAGGAAGCCCAGACTGTATTTGCAAATACTACTGTTGTGCTTGTGACAGAAGAAAAGACAAGATTTGTAGATAAAAGTAATAACTTTAGTTATCAGCTTTCTTTGACCTCTCCATCTGGTATTGTCATCTACAAAAGTTCTTTTTAAAAATGTACCTTTAACTTTTATAGTCCATTTGGCATAATATTAGTGCTATATTCTTTTGTACCGATGACTATGCTTTTTTTTACCACACCAGGTAGGAAAAGGAAATCAATAAATGCTTACTGTCTTTATGTGGTTTTTAGATACCTTAAATTATACAGGACTATAATATATGTTTTAAAAATACACGTATACATACTAGCCAAAATGCTTATATCATGTGGCTCTTGAATTATTCATCAGTGAATTGCAAAAGTTGCAATTAAAGTTATGATTTAGTATACTTCTGTAAATAAACTTTCATTAATGCTGTGATGTCGCTTTCAATTTTATTCCTTCTTTTCCCTGTCTGTCTTTTGAAGTCTTCTGATTTTTCTGATCAAAGTGAAACTGCTGCTGACTATTTTAGTCGTTCCAACCGCAGGGGAAGCATCGTTTCTGATGCAGATGATTTCCAAGGTTTGAATAGTGTGAGTGAAATGTTTGATATTATGTTGTGGTGAATGCAGCAAGCTAACACATCCTGGATTTTTGTTTTCATATTTAAGAGAAAAAAAAATATTGTAAAAGAGCTTGGAATTATGTAATGGCAGGTGACTTTGACTTGAATTGTTGGGGTTTATTTAAAGCTTAATGCTGTTTTTTATACAAAGATGTCAGGAGTCCTTGAATTTCATTTCAACTATTTTATATATAAATGGTCACATTTGTGAAAAGGATACCTCGCTATCATATAGCCAGGATGAGAACAGGCTGCATCATTCATGTTTATCAAGTACAAGGAAGTTCCAAATGAGAAGCCTTTGAATTTCAGGGACTCCTTTCAATTTGCCTCTGCATGCTGCTTTTATTTTAAAGAAATTCTGCCTGTTGCTAGAAGCATGTGATAAGCACTTCACTTTATTGTGTGATGGACTTAAGCATCTCTGAAATGTAAAAATATTTTTGTGTTGAAAATTAATATATAAATTAGTGTCCTATAGAGCTTTTCGGAACACTAATTTATATTCTTGGAGGTGTGCTCTCTTTAGTACATGTTAGTAGTCTTTCCACCAAGAAGAGCATTGTTGACAATAAACGTAGCTGCCTCTTTTTTTTGCTGCGAATAGTTCATGAAATATTTTTATTACCTGATAATTCTTTTTTTTTTCTTTTGTATAAAAGACAGGAAAATTCCTGTTCTTATGCTTGCCTTTGAAGGAAGTAAAGGTGGGAAATAGCCTTAGACCCTTAAATTTGAAGAGTTAAAAAGTTGTGTAGTCTGGCATCAGGCACTTTTGAATGGTCACCAAGAGACCTGCTTTTAGGAGATGCTGCTTTCTTTAATGTGAAATCTTCCTTGCGAATAGAAAGTCTAAGTTCTTTCTCAGGCAAAGTTTTATGCAAAGGATGAGGAGAAAAGGAAGAAATCAGATGGTGAAGAGTTTATGTATCGCTTCTTTTTTTTATTTTTATATTTTGGCCTTCTGCATGCATTCCAAGGCCCTCATACTGGCAATTAGTATTGTATCCATATGTTTTTTTCAAGTGTCTCAACACCAACTTTTGGTCAGGTAGGCTACCTGACCACCAACTTTTTACCTGAACACCAACTTTTGGTCAGTAGACTACCTATGGAAAGGAAACTATCTCCAGTATTTCAGTAACGCGCAATACAAGCTGCAGTGACTACTATTCTGTACCAACTTAGCAAAGGTAGAAAACTTTCCCATCTTTTTTTCTCTCAAATAGAGGAAGCAAGGTGCTCAGGAAAGCTTACTGCTTTTTCTGAGAAAATCAGCTAAATGAATACACAGCTAAATGGAGCTGTTGGCCACGGTCCTGCTTTGGGAGGGAGACCAAACCAGATGACTTCCCGAGTGCCCTTACAGGCACTGTTTCTGTGATTCAGCATTTAGATGGTACTTAATGCAGCACAGTCTGTATTATAATGTTGCAGGATATTTATTGTCTGTGTTCCAAGTGTAAGAGAGATCAGTCATCTCTCTAGTCTAAATTTAGCTTTTTTTTCTCCTCCCTCTTCAATAAAGCTTCTTTCCTGGAGCTAATGCTCTGCTAAGAGAGCATGGAGACCAAGATTGGCAATGACACTATTTTCTCAGTTGCCTTTCTTGATGTAGTCGTTGTTATTTTAAGTTATTCCATATAGATATTTCGTATCAATAGGATTCTTCACATCATTTTGTCATCACAGTGGTGAGAAATATTTGCTGTTTACAATTTCAAGACATCGTTGTAGATGGTGCAGATTTGTCAATGAAAAATGGTGTTGCTCCTGTAGAAAACATAGTGGCAGGAAAAGGAAAATCTTATGGAGTGAGCTTGTTTCTACCTTGATTCTAGCATGCTTCTAAATCACTTAGTTTTTGGAGAAGTGAGGTATTACAGCAATCATGCCAATATTAGAACGCATATCAATATATGGATGTCATTTTATATCATCTATTTTGATTCACAGAACTGTTGGAATTAAGGAAAACTATAATGAAAGTTGGGAATATCAGAGCTTCTTAGCTAAAAAGCTAGGGGGTCTATTTAAGTTTGTTCTTTTGCTCTAGCTTCAACGCTTGAATGGAAATTGTTTAGTAGGTTGCTGTTAATACATTTCAGGCATGTGTTCACTTGAGTTGTTCTTGTCCTGATGTTTTTGCTGGCTAGCTTTGTCAAAGAGTTTGAAGTAATGAACGTGTTTCCTAATGACTGACATGCACACGGGCGTCACTAATAACGTAAACTGTGCTTGCATAAAGTTTTCCATTTGTTATGCCACAAAGTGTTGCAGTCACTGTTGAAATATAAGATGCTGAAGCATTTTTGTTGTGCAGTACACTTTGAATTTTTAGCATTGTCTTTTAACATTTTTTTCTTTAAAGTTTCTGAGTTACTATATGCATTTACTTACTTAATAAAGTAATTAAAGTAAAAACTTTGCAATTAAATAAAAAACTACTCTTCCAGGCTTATTATTTTTCCCTCTCCTCTCCTCGCCCCTTTTCCCCCCACCACTCAGTATTTGCTAACTTTTTTTTCATTTGTTTCTTTTTTTTTCCTTAAATATTTCTCAGTGTCTGAGAAATTCACCACAGATGATGATGCTTATATATAGACTTTAATCACAGAAGATATATTATGATTGCTTTCTCTTTTCTCTTTCAGCTGGAAGAAAAGAGTGACAAAACACATTTGGAAATTTATTCAAGGGTAAGAGCTTTTAATTTAACTATTATTGAAAGTCAGTGTTCAACATTAATTCGCAAGCTTTGAAGTAGTTCCAAAAGTTGAAATGTTATGTGTTTTTTAGTAGAATATAATTTAGTTATTTCATAGATCTTGCGAAGTGGTATTCTTGAACATCGATTTTATCTACCAGGAATTAATGGACTTCGCACCTTTTATTTACCAAGAAAATTTTATTTTTATTTACTTTGAATAACATTTCTTGTAAAAATCATCCTTTATGTTAGGAAATAGCAGAACAGGTTTAATTTTAAGAGAACAGGGCTGTAAAATTTGGATAATAGATGCTGTTGGAGACATTCTCCTGAATATGGCAGAAATTAGAACTTAAAAAAATGTTTTGAACTTTCATACTTTCCAGTACTAACAGCTCCCTTATGACAGTGTTCAGAACAGAATACTCAAAATTAAAATGCTATGATGAGCCATCTAGATTTTCTCTGTGCTGTTACATAACCTCAGTGTTCTGTTAGCTTCTCAAAAGCAAAGCATATAGCACCAAAGAGAAACCGACACTTCACCAAGAAATAACAGAAGTGTTGGAAAGTAATCAATGGAAAATACTGTCTGTAACCTTGTATTAAGAAATGGTAAAAACAAGAGAGGGAGAAAGGTGTTCTGTGACTGTGAAATAATTTATAAAGAATAAGGTAAAATCGGCAAAAGGAGGTTACCCTGTCAGAAATCACAGTATGCTTCATGATATATTGTCTTCCACTTTTTTAAGCCATCATCCCGCAATTCAATAAGTGCAACCCCTCTAAGTGGCAACTCATCTAGGAGAGGAAGTGGAGACACAAGCAGTTTGGTGGATCCTGATGCCTCCCTAAGTGAACTACGGGTAAACTCTGTTGCTGAAGAATTTGGAGCTAATTTATATTTGTTATTAGGAAGAATTTTCTTTGCTATCAAGCTTCTGTCTTCTCTTTTTTATAGAAAAAGTGATGGAATGCTTTCCATCTGAGGAGAGATATATATATTTGTCATGATATTGTATTGGTTGTGTTCATAAATATTTACAGTGCTGATATTTAGCTTCTATTAAAAAATGTATATATCAAATTTGAAATAGCTTTTTGCTGTCTCTGAAAATATTTAATTCCCATGACTTGGATTCAGTGCTATAAACAAATCTTAATTTTCTTCTGGTTAAGCATTGTGAATTAAATATAACTTCTGTGAGTTACTGCAGGCTTTGGCATTTGATAGAAATGCATGGAAACCTTTTTAATGCTCGTTCAGCTGTAAATTCTTTCCCCGTACTACTTATGCAATGGTTCATTCCTATGTCCTGCAGGATATCTATGATCTTAAGGACCAGATACACGATGTAGAAGGGAGATACATGCAGGGACTTAAAGAACTAAAGGTATCAGGGCTTCTCCCAAGCATGTGTTCCATGTGGTTTTGTGGGTAATGGAGATGGCACTGGCTCCACTAACCATGTAAGGCTTTACTAACTAGCTTTTTAAATTTGTTTGAAGCATGTATTTAACATTTAATGCTTAGAGCACATCATTATTTGTCGTGTGGATAAATTTTTAAGCTCTACTGTCTCACTGTACATTTAGAAACAATGCTAATTATTTGGCTTATATTAAAATAGTATTAAACTTTCTCTTAACCAGGTGTTTTCTGGTATGATAATGAGAGGTTCGATCTATATTTTTAATGCTTTTTATTGTTAGCCATTTAGTGGTAACTCAGAGTACTTGTATATTGAAGGGGGAAGAGAAGTGGGGTAGTCATGACAAAGACCTTAACTAAGAAAATACTGAATTTTATAAAAATAAAACCAAAGTGATACTTTAGAAAGATGCAATCACATGAATCTCAGCAGGCATAGTGCTTGCAGGCCAGATGAAGTTCGTGTGGATCATTTGTATACAGCCATCAAGAGAGTTTTTTTCATGTTCATGGCTTGCATTCTGATTATCTTTTAATTTTTCTAATATTTTCAATAATAGGTTAATAAGACTTCTGCCTAAATGTTTCTTTTGTGCCTACTCAATTAGGAATTTATAGTTAATCTAAATTATGACTATTTTGTGTTCTGTGTTGAAGGGAAATTCGATACAGCAAATGATGTGACTTACAATATCTTTTTCAGAATAGTTGTTCTGTTCGCTTTCCCTTTGCCAAGCTATAAATAGTTCTGTGTAAAAGGAGCAAGTTTTAAGAATATATTTTGTATATTAATATAGAGAATGAATTTAATATTACTTGTCATTAAATAGTATAACAGCAATTCAACATCCTCCTTGAATTTCTTTAATTAAATAACATAATATTGAATAGTACAGTGAAGAGGAAATACAATGAATGATTGAAATTACATATCAAAAATTGTTCCCTCCTCAGAGGATAAGTAACCATATTTGAATCTGACAGAGGCTCAGATGAAGTATATTTTTATCATATTATTATATGTATATTAAATGGATTTCAAAAAGCAGAATTGTCACAAAGCTGTTTTTTTTTTTCTAATACTGCTAAATTGCTTAGCGCTTTGAAAGCTTCCCATAGTGAGTTTAAGGGAGAGTTGCAAGATCTTTACAAATAGGTATGATTCTATTAACTTGGAATTAAAGATGAGATTGCATTGTAATTTCAAAATAGCTAATGTTTGTGCATGTTTGCCCGTGTGGCCTGACTGATGTTGAGTCCTTACTAATGCACTGTCCATTTTAAGCAGTTACACTTTGCAAAGAGCGCGGGTCTGCCGCATAGAGTAAGATCTTGATATACACTTGACTGGCAGAATTGGTTTATACAGTTTTAAATTATTATTATATAAATATAATAATTATTAATAATACTAAATAATGCGACTGAAAGTTAAATTGCCTTCCTTGGAGATTCTTTGGGGAGCCCTTTTTCCTAATTAGTAAGGTTTTCTCAACCACCATTTTAGCAGTTTTGTGTTGTGTAAGTTGAGTTACTAGGATATCTTGTGTTTTCTCAGTCATTGAATAACAGTGATCTGTAGCTGTGCTGCTTGCACATCTCTGTGGTTGTTCATCTGCATAGAGCAAAAAGTTTCTTGCCTGGCTTCAGACCTGCTTGGTGTCAGCAAAACAAACTGCAGGAGGATCGTTTTGACTTCGTCAGTTGTTCCAGTCTCTTAATGTCTCTAGGTGCTTCTGTTTTGCTGACTCAATCCACTTTCCCATGAATCAGCCAGAAAGAAACCCTTTTTTTCTTTCCTCAATATTTCTCTCTTCCTTTTTCTACCCTCAAATTTTATCACTTGTTCATTTTACGGGACTCTCTCAATTCTTATTGTTTCTTACTTAACCAAAAGGTAACTGAAACTCCATGAAGTTCTTGCAGCATAAGGAACATGTTGCAAGTATCTTCCTCAGAAAGAAGGAACTGTTCCAAAGTGACCTTATCAATGTCTCAGTTCTCTTAAGTAGTTTGAGACATTTAGACAAAGCTCGGTTTCTTTTCCAAAAGTAATTCGCACTTTTCTGCCTCAAAAATAATTTATTAAAGGAAATAGTTTAATCTTTTTTAACTCTAAAATTAGGACTTCATAAAACTTAATTTTGAAAATTGAAATTATTTTGAAAATAGTTCATATTGCAATCATTGTATATTTAAAAGGGCATGGAATAATAGTTGCTCTTATATCCCAATAGTTTATATTTGCTATAATACCAGGGAAAAATAATATAAAATCATGGTGGGTAAATGCAAGAGATGATAGAATTAGCTAAGTGGGATTAGCAAGGCATGTTGTACTTGCAGGTAGAGAGGTTGAGTAGGTAAATCTTGATGTATTTCCCTTTGTCTTTAGAAGACTTGTATTTAGGGTGGGATTGGGGGAGGAGTATGGAGAAAGCATTTTCTTACTATGAAATAAAAGACACAAAGTCTGCTTAAATAGCTCATTAAAATCATTATTGAAAAAAGGATGCGACTACCTTAAAACTTGAAACCAGAGTTATAGAACTATATTAATGAGGATTATTTTCAAATTTCCCTTAAAGATATTTCTGTTATCTCTTGTCATTTGTTTATTTGTGTGAGTTCTCTTTGTCACACTCGTTGTTCCATTCTGAAGCGTTCTTATGCATGCATTAAAAATGCAGTAAAGCTGTGCATTATTTCTTTGTTCTTGTGATTTAGTAAAGCTATGATGGTGGCAGAGCAGGAAATGCAGGTGAAATATTTTGTAATTTTCATGCATTTGCTGTAATTTTCATTGCTGGGTATAGCATAACCTGAGTAATGGAAATGACCATGACTTTTTTTCTCTAAAGAAAAGACATGAATAATACTTCAGAAAAAAGGATGTCTGCCTCACTTTACTTTACAAGAGATTAACACTTTTGAATGTTATGGTGGTGTGATTTGTCAAAAAGCTAGGCTAAAGTGAGTCTTTCTGCTGTCTGTAGGATTCTCTAGCTGAAGTTGAAGAGAAGTACAAGAAAGCCATGGTTTCCAATGCTCAGCTAGACAATGAAAAGAACAACTTGGTTTACCAAGTGGATATTTTAAAGGATGTCATTGAGGAGAAAGAAGAACAGATAGCAGAGTTCTACAGGGAAAATGAAGAGAAGTCAAAGGTACTGTTGTTTTTTTGAGGATTGTTTTTTGAAGGGGAGAAAAAGGCTGAGCTCATAAATCTTTTCTTCCACTGTAAATATCACTAAATAAAATCTTCCATGTAGGAAGTATCTAGAGAATTTAGTCACTGAATATGTGAATTTTAGCTATTCGATTGTTTGAATTTCTTAAATTGTTGCAATAATCTCCTTGGTAGTGTTATGTTAAGCAAACCTTTACCTCTCTCTTTTTTTTTTTTTTTTGGAGATGTTTCTCAAATCCAAACTAAATCACGCCTCCTGATGTTTTTAGGAATTGGAAAGGCAAAAACACACCTGCAGTGTTCTACAGCATAAGCTGGATGAACTGAAAGAAGGCCTTCGTCAGAGAGATGAATTGATAGAGGTATGTTCATCTGAGACAGTGTGTGATAGAATGTGTGTAAACAAAAATGGTGTAAGATTTGCACAAGTACAGTCTTCCTATGCACAAAATTAATTTCATTATCATCTTGGACTTGTTAACAAATATTTTTTTTTGTTTTACTGAGACGAGTTTAAGCTATTAATCTCTCAATTTCTGAAGTTAATAACGTCACTGCAAGATTTTCAAAAATGTATTACACATTGTAAAAATCCTTAATTCCTGCAAGAACCCTGGTTCTGTCATCAATGATCTCTTTATTTTTCCCTCTTTGAGGGCCGAACTAATGATTATGTTGCTCAAAATCTCATTAGGCCTAGCTGGAAGTTCTGATGCATTGACAGTAGCAGGTATTGTTCTGGATTGATATCTTCTTCCCACCAAATTCTTGTGCTATACAGGCAGTAGCCCAGTGAGCTCAGAGTCTTTTTGAAAAGTCGCAGAGATGGTGATGATGCTGAGAAAAGGATTAAGTGCATGAACTGGCATTGGCGTGATTTACAAGCAGAAGAAAAGGGCTCTGATCAGCCTAGGTAGCAACGTTGTGCCCAGACTGATGTGCTGATAGGCAAAAAACTTCTGCACATTCCATTTGAAGCTCTGTCATGTTCTCTGGAATCTCTTTGACTTCACTGTCAAGAAAAAGCTTTAAGTTTTCTGCTTTAGTGTCTGTTCTGTGGGTGGTGGTTTTTAGGATAAGTGAATGAGGAATACACAGCAGATGGTTCTGGAGTGTTTGCTGTGGGAGTACGCAGCATGTGCATTGAATATGTGCAGGCAGCCCATTCAAATGTACCCAAATTTATTTGTGCAACTATTCCAGATAACCTAGCGAAAGCCATTTAGGAGACTGGTTGAAAAATTAAGTTCAATTTTTGGGGAGTGCAAAAAATTATTCCTAGCCCTATTTTCCTCTCCAGTATCTTATTCTTAGCTTTATTAACAGTCATTGTCTTGCAAATATATTTCTTATTTATGGGTTAAAAGGTAGGTTTGGTTTTATTTGATCACTGGAAGGTGTTTGTTTATATTTGACATTGCTGGTAGACAAAAATAGGGAAGGCAACTGCTGACTAGAAATCAGTTACATTCCTTTCTTTAACACTCAATTACAAAATTTAGAATTGTTGCTTCGGTAATCTTGAAAGTTGGGGGTGGAGGGAAATCACTTCCATACAGCACTTGTTGGTAAATGGAAATTACTGCAAGGCAGTTATTTTTCTAAAGAAAGGATGTTATTTGCAGTTTGCAATGGGACTTGTTATGAAATAGTTCTTGCTATAGCTAAATATTCCTATCAGCGTTAAGTGGTTCAATAAAAATACAGTTTTGAATGAATTTGAAGGGACCCTGTGTTACGCTGGGTTGCGTCCTTTTTCTTTTATGTCATGCTCATAAACTCTTTGGTTGACTCCTACTGTTTCCTTTCCTTTATCTGTTCAGACATTTTTTCCCATTTCTTTACTCGTCTTTCTTTTTCTTCTCTTATTCTGTCTTCATCGTATTTGCTACAGGAGAATCAACGAATGCAGCAGAATATAGACTGCATAACCAAAGAGGTGTTTGATCTCCAGGAGACAATTAATTGGAAAGATAAAAAAATAGGGGTATGAAATGATATGGGGGAAGGTATTTTTTGCATTTTTAGAAGTAGACTGATACTTTTTTTTTTCTCCAAGGAATGCTGTGTACACCAAAGAAACGAAGGCCACTTCCATTTGAAAAGTATTTTAAATGTTTAAATCTTTCTCCTATTTAGAGAAAGAAATGAGCTCCACTTTATTTGCATAGTGGTGAATAGTGCAAATCAAATCTACAACATAACAAGTTGCTATGCATACAGGTCTTGTTACTTTTTTCTGAGAAAATTTTTGCCTGCAATATGAGCCCTAAAAGTCAGTTGCTTTAATCCTAACAAATGTGAAGGATGTCTGGTCCACATGTAGAATATTAATACAATTTTTGAAGTGAGTGAGTTTGAAGTGAAGCTTTTCATCCTCATACAGAAAATGCAATTTGTAAAACTTCCTACGTGGTGACCTGCCTGGTGCCGTAGGCGGAATCCGCCCCCTCGGCAGGCAGGAGCGGCTGCCAGGCTCTCTTGTGCAGGGAGGTACCGGGGCAGCTGCCCTGGCAGCCCTGGGCCCACGAGCGCTCCCTGCCTGCTGCTCGTGCCGGTTGGAAAGGAGGAGCCGCTGCCCGGTAACTGCAGGGTCCTTGCTTGCCACCAGGTGGATTTCATGCCAGAAGTTTCTTTCTTCTGTTGAAATTAACAGAATACTGCATTGAGGTATTGCTCTACCATGTGCTTTTTGGACAATTATTAAAATTCAGCATACTGCAATTTTCATGGGGAGCAATTTCAGTACAGTGACTCACCTTTGTTTCTTTCGTGATATCAGTCTATTCCTAAACATTCCTGCATGATACAATGTTTAGTTAGATGATTTTGGGGGGAAAACATGTGCACCTTTTTGCAGTAATTTGATAGGCAGGACTATTTGTAATGCATGCAGTGTGAAATTTGTCTGAAATGCAGAGATGCTGCCAATTCAGATAAAAAGGTCTGATTTGCACCCAGGGAGCAGAACTGCAGTGTAGGTGTGCAAATGAACTTGTGCCCATATTGTGCTTTTAGTTGATCCTCTCTCCTGCTAAGAGAGGCTATTGGCTTTTGGGCCTCTTTTTTTTTTTTTTTTTCCTCTCTGCTCCACTCTCTGAAAATGATTGGTTTTAGTACAGAGTGGCTGTAACACTTAAACAGTGAATAAGCCAGTTTTATCGGGTGGATGACATCCAGCAGATTTTAATGTAGCCACACTCTAGCCAGAAATAAGAGTACTCATTTATTATTTTAGTGTTTGATTTAGTTAGAAACTACCAAAAAGGAATCTATTAAACAGATATCTACTGTAGAATCTACTAAGACCCAGTTCAGATGTCACAAGAAGTATGTAGCAGTGAGACTAGATAGGTGACTCATTGTAAAGAGTAGCTGCTAGAGTTGGATGTTTATATGTATTCATTAGATTAAATTCACCTCCTGATTTCTTTTATTCAGCTCTTTGTATTTGTTTGTAGAAGTTCTCTCTGCTATCTGTTACATGCTTTTTCTCTGTGCCATTCTTTTTCTTGCCATGTGCCTGTGCACAGGCCCTAGAAAGGCAGAAAGCTTTCTTTGACTGCGTTAAGAAAGAGCGAGATGAGCTCAGAGAGGAGTTGGCTGACCTGAAGGAAGCAATGAAGAGAGGAGAGGTACGTCAGTAGTAGCTACTTAGAGTTACAGAAATCCAGCATGGGGGATGCAATCAAAGGCCATGTAAAAGAGGAATCATTGTTACTTCTCTTACACAGCCTCAAAACCTGGCCTTTAGGGTAGGCTAGGCTAGTTGAAATACTGTGGTGTCACTGCTTCTAGTAACTTGAAAAGCCTTTTAAAAACCCTTCTGTTGAGTTGTACTTTAGTGCTCTGATATGAATGTGGTGTTTCTTTTTGTATTTTTTAGAAGCATGGGTTAGTTATAATTCCCGACGGCACACCGAACGGTGATGTAAACCACGAGTCGGTGGTTGGGGCAATAACAGTTGTATCACAAGAAGCTGCTCAAGTCTTGGAATCTGCTGGAGAAGGACCACTAGGTAAAACATGCTAATATAATAGTATACTAAGAGTTTATAAAACTTTTGTCTGCATTCTGTTCTTTTTAAGTTGTGGTTTACAACCGCAGAAAGACGTCTGCAATGATTCTGAGATACTGAGTTGCTACGCTACTCCGAAGATTTTATTTTTTTACATGAAACATTTTTTTACATTTACATATGAATAAACATATATTTTGTTTGACTTGAAGATTTTATTTTTTTACATGAATATTTTATGAATAAACATATATTTTGTTTGACTAAATATAATGGGATATGTCAAGATGCTCGTAGCTGATTAAGTCTCTTTATTAATGTTGGCAAAATATGTAAGATTAGCCTAAAAGCCTAGGATTATTGGATCTTTTGATTAGTATTTTCCATTGTTTTTCATGACAAAACATTTTTTTAAAAGCATATATCATCAGTGCGAGAGGTTCTGCAGAAAATAATGTCATTGCTTTTTTTTTGTTGTTCCCTTAGGCAAACCTGTAGTACTTTAAAAGTAACACGGATAACAAGAAAAGAGATTTGGAGGGGCCTTTATTTTAACTTATTTTTTATTCTAAAGTTGAACAAGCTATTGTGCATATAGTCAATCACCTGCAAATTTTTTTCAAAATTGTGAATATCCAAGGAAATATTCTTATAAGCTTGCATATCTTTGCACAGCATGTACAGTAATTTAATATTTTTGTTTTAATTATGAATGTTTCTGACATGGTTCCATGATAGCAAAGCACAAATGTTGTCTTCATGCCTTTTTAACCTCCAAGTAGTAAATTCTGAGTGAGCGGCTCTAATCTCAGCACCAAACTGTCTGAGAGGGTATTTTGTAGCTGTTATTGGTCTTCTGGATATTTGAGAAATTGAAACATTGCTCTGGGCCCTTTCCCAAGTGCTTTTTTTGTGGTTTGAAAACACAAATAATAAAAGCTTCTGCAAGCACACGGGATAGCTTAGTGCCTTTCCTGAAGGTACAGCAGTCTTTAAAAGTAAAGCATAGGGAGGAGTGTATGCTGCCATTAAAAAAACTGTTGGAAATAGCTGGTTCAGTCATTTGGATTATAAAACAATTTTGTTCTAAGTCTACATATGTTCAAAGATAATTTTCAGTTGACACTCAGTTTTTAGTGAATACTTGATACAGTTGGAAATCTTGTTTTTAAAATTATTATGCTAATAAACAATGAATTAAATATCTTCCTTTTTCTGCTATTAACTAAAGGTTGATATTATTTAAGATATCAAGGTATTCTATTCTCATATAAACTTTAGGTTTGAAGAGCATTTTACTTTTCAATTTAACAAGATTATGACATTTTTACTTACAGATTTCTCTGATTTTTAATTGGTTTGTTTCATTTTAGATGTGCGGCTACGAAAACTGGCTGGAGAAAAGGAGGAGTTACTGTCCCAGGTGAAAAAAAAAAAAGCAATCCTTTTCAAAAATTCTGTAGAAGGATATCCAAATGTGTCCTCTTTTTAATAGTGTGTCTCCCAGCAAATAGTTACATACTAACAATAAATGCCAAGTGTAAAGATGCTTTAAATATTTAAGTGCTAATATAAAGCAAATACTCGCTTCCAGCCTGGCTGACTAGTGGGAATTATCAGCTCCATAAGTATCCTTATCAATGTGACCTGGTTCTGGGTTGGTGAAGGACCCAAGCTGTCATAACAACAATTGCCTACATGTACTCAAAATTATCTCTTTTCTTTTGTCCTGTGCCAAAATACTGAATTCAATAAACTGACATTCTTGCAAGCTTAAGAGGCTCTTCCTTCCATGTTAACATTCCTTTCATCACTTCAGTTACTCAGAGGGAAAATATAATATTATCAAAGTAGTTATATATTTTAATGCAGCTTAGTACCGAGAAGAGAGTGCTCAAGAAATTCAAGTCCAGCAAGCTTTTGTTAAGAGCAGCGTCACTTCTGTGCATCCAGTTAAAGATATCTCAAGATTTAAGTGGTGTTGTCAATATATTTTTTTGCTGGGAGCACGACTTTAATTCTAGTGTTTGCTGAATACCCAATTCTATTGTTGAATTGTGACTATTAAATATTTTATGTGTGTATTTGTGTGTATATATTTTAATGGACCTTTTATGCTTTGAGTATGCTATATCACAAGTGGGAGTTTTGAAAATATAATTCCCATACTATTGATCTGTAGGGCAATATTTCGATAACAGAGAGTCGACAAAACAATTCCCACTTCCTTCATGGACTTCAGATATAGAGGACATAGCTGAGGAATCGGTGCTCCGTGACTACTGGGAAAAATCCTGAGGCAGCTCCTGTAGCCTAAAGCCAGCAGCATAGGACTAGCATGCACCGCAGACTTGTCCAGGTAGAACAAAAGAGAGGGCCAGCCCCCCACCCCGCAAAAGCTATGGATTATTTTTTTCCCTAAACTCACTAGGATGTTGTTGATTAGAGTGGAATGCCAAGAGTGGAAAAAGAATTTTTTGGAGGAACTCCAGAAAGACAGGGCTCAAGTCCTTTGAATGTCCTGCTGGGAAGGCAGCCCCTTCGGGTGCCCCTGCGTTGTGCTGAGGCCCCCGCAGCACTGACCGAGGTGCTGGGCTTGGGCAGCAGGTAGCACATTGGCCAGCAGCAGCGATGCTAGCGCTGCGGTCAGTTGCCAGCTTCCAACTACCAAACCCTCTCAACTAGAGGCATCTCACGACTGCTTTACCATTTTGGCTTGTTGAAGTTTAGATATATGATAACTGAAGTGCTGGAAGCTGATTTTTTAACAAGAGAATGCTCCTGTTTCAGGTTAGAAAACTGAAGATGCAATTGGAAGAAGAACGGCAGAAATACTCCAGAAGTGATGGCACAGATCTGGATGCAACAGGCTTAGAAAATGGTTCTGACTTGCAGCTATTTGAAATGCAGAGTAGGTACATAGTTACTGTCCACAAATACTTTTCTTGTGGAGAGAGGAAACAGACTCTTCCTAGTGTCTTTTCTATGAAGTTGTACAAACTGGTTGTATGAATGAATGAGCAGCTAAGGTTTGTTGGTAAGTCTCCTCTCAGGAAATTTCTTACTGTTTTTTTCCAACCCCCTCCCCTATTTCTTCAACTTTTCCTTTTCTGAGAGGTTATTTCTTAGATGGCAATACTGCTTAGCATGAGTGCCAAAAGTTGAAAATTAAAAATATTTAATTGAAAATACTTATTGAAAAGTAAACTTTACTCGTGAAGTAAGTACTCAAACTATTAAAATTGAATATGTCTTGCTTCATACAAGCACTAAGCCACTATGAACAAGCTGTTTCTTAAGCTACAAGTGTTCCTCATCTGACAGACTGTCATTTAATAATCATTTTGCAGTTAGTGTGCACAGAGCACTGGCAATGTCAGCACTGAACAGTAGCACTAAAATATGACAAAGTTTCCTGAGAATCTTCTTGTCAAGCAGGTTCAGGCCTTGTGCTCCTTATCAGTCGTTTGCTTTTCCAGATGTTTACACTAAACACTGTGGGAATTCTCCCTATTTGAGCCAATTTGCAGTGTGTTGGTTACTCTGTTGATTCTCTGATTTTTTTTGTGTGTGTGAAGAATTTACTGATCTAAATGTGCTTGTTTTAAAGCATGCACATGTGGGCTTATGCATCTGAAATGTTATGCAATCTCTTAAAATAATGGTAACTGTTGTGTTCTCTATCTAACAGGAAAACTGAAACTTACTCTCAAATACAACTTCCAAAAGAACATTTACCTCTTGATAGTCCTGAATATAGGCTTCTGATTAATAGAGTATTTTAATGCATTTGATTTTAAATGGAAACTGCCTGTTGAGAGAATTGCATTGAGTAATGCATGTCATGTGTTTTTCCTAGGAGATGCCAATAGACAAATTAGTGAATACAAATTCAAGCTTTCAAAAGCTGAACAAGATATAACTACTATGGAACAAAATGTAAGTATATGTTTTTTCAGATCACAGCAAATGGCACTTGCTCTGCAGGCCTTTACAAGAATTTTCTTAACAAATGCATGAAAACCTATTTCATAACTTGATTTACTGTTGGTTTTGTAGTTTACACAAACCAGCATTACATTGAGATTTGTTTCCCTTTTCCTGCAAATCAACTCTTGGGACAAATGGGGTTATAGTTCAGCAATGCTTAAAAACACTTAAAAGATTATAGTTTGAATTAGAACTACAATTGCTTTTATTCTGTCTTGCACAGCAATGGAGTAATAACCACAGCTATGCAATAGTGGGGCAGGGAGGTGGACGCAAAGCAACCCAGCAAGTGGGCTGAATGCCACAGTCGCAGCCGTGCTTTGTCTTGAGTCCCCTCTGCACGCAGAACTGTGCAGAATTTAGACACCATGCAGCCTATCCAGTTACAGTTGCTGTCTCCTTTCTGCTTTACGCTTTTTCTCACAGTCTCTGCTTTTCCACTTTCCACCTTTTGTTGTTAATCCCACGTTTTCCCCAGTTCTTGGCTTTCTGCTCAGCTCCTCTCTGCTCTGTTACCTTAACTTGTTCTGTCTTCTGTGCTCTTTCCCCTACTCTGTTCCATTCTCTGCTGTTTCTTGTCACCCTCATCAGGCTGTGAAAGGTACTGCAAGTTTCTGCCCTCAGCTTACTCTGCTGCTTGAAAATTTACTACTACTTTTAAACCCTCTCTTTGCAGTCATGGCTGCTGCTAACCCATTTTAATTGCCTCCTTCCTGAGGAAGAATCTGTGTTTAATTTGGAGGATGGCTTGGGGTACAATTATACAATGCTTTTTAGGAGAGGCAGGTGGAGCACCCTGTTACATTTTTGGGTTTATCTGGGTTTGCAGATTGGACGACTTGAGGGCCAGGTTGCAAGATACAAAAGTGCTGCAGAAAATGCAGAAAAAGTGGAAGATGAACTCAAGGCTGAGAAGAGGAAGCTTCAGCGAGAGGTGAGCTTTGAGTCGCACCCAGCTTTCAGCTGTGGGGCGTTCTCCTTTGTCTCCAAGCTCTCCCTTTTTGTAATGTTCTGTTTCAGCTTTGAAGTGTTCTGAATAGAGGCCACTAGTATTGCCTTCAGAAGATGACAACTATAGCACATAAAGTACTACCAGTTACAGTTTAACACAGTATTTTCTTGGAAGGAGGGATCTAAAGTTCCATTTTCTTCAAAATGTGATGCTTTGGATTATTTTGATCTAATTCTTTCAGAAAAGTTACTGGGAAGCTCCATAGGGAGCTGTGTCAGGTGTCAGCACTTCACGGGGAGCTGGAACTTAGCTGTGCTCCTGTCTTATTTCCTCTATCAAGAGCTAAGAACAGCAGAAAGTCCATTTAAGCTTAAAGTGATAATAACTTTTGCTTTCATGTTATAGTTACGAACAGCACTGGATAAGATTGAAGAAATGGAGATGACCAATAACCACTTGATGAAAAGGCTGGAGAAGATGAAGGCAAATCGGACTGCGCTTTTATCTCAGCAGTGAAGTGCAAATTAAAGAATACTGTGCACTGCTCCTTGAATAACTAGCCCCTAGCTTGTTTTTAAGTACAGACTCTCATTGTCACAAACTGTTGGAACACCGAGCTGTTCGATTGTATTTTAGTTTCATAATTAAATGGCATCATGTTTTTGTAACTTATGAGAGAATGAAATGTAGGTTGAATTCCCCTGTGAATGACAGCAATTTTTCCATAGCGTTTGATTCTAGAGTCAGAGCTGGAGCACAATGCTGTATGATTGACTTAGCGATAGAAAATGTTTTCACAACTGTGGAATCAAGTTTACTCACAATCTGTTTTGGCTGCTTTAATGATGCTTGATGCTTGGAGACAACTGCATGAATTCAGAAGACACTGTATTATAAACTAACAACTATATTTGCTCAAGACATCACACAGCACAAGTGCCTTTTATATGGTGCAATTTAGTCTTCAATGACGCTAGATTGTTGAAATAACGTTTGAAATCAGATAACATTTTATTTTAAATACATACGGGGTATTCACTAAACTTTATACATTTTGAAAATGCTTTTTTTGTAAAATATTTGAATTTATAAGAAAATAAATAGGGACTGTACATAAAAATCTGCCTTTTTTTTTTTTTTTTTTTTTTTTGCATGGTAACATCTGAGTTCTAGATAATTTTGTAAAATAGTAGCCCCTGGTACTCCCTGATCAGATACAGGAGTATAAGAGTATCTTATACTTTTATCTGTATAGATACAAAGTACAGATTTAAAACCTTGTGTTACACACTATCAAATTGTACGTCATCTGCTGCTTAGGTGTGAAATGAAATGTAAAGCAGGAGGAAGGGGGTGGGAAATGCGGCTAAGGAGGTTATTAAATGGACACTTTACTGACCAGAAAAGGTGTTTGTTTTCTTTTAAAATCCTGAGTTACCAACAGGATAGAACAAAGTTCTAACACTGAATGGTGATCTTCATATTCTTAAATAGTATCTTTTCGATGTCTTTACAATAGTCATTTTTGGCTGTAGCCCACTTTTGTTGGACATGAAATGCTATTAAGAGCTTGCCTTCTTTTCCAGCTGGCATGTAGCATGTGAGACACCTGCTGAATTACAATTCTGAATCATTTGAAGTTGGGCTACTAACCCGTGTTAGACTTAGCCTCAGGCCAGAAAGAGACCAGCACTTGATCTGAGAGGAATTAATCCTTTAGATGGAAACCAGATGTTTTCCTGTAGCAAATCACTCCTTAGGAGTTCTCAAAGCAACACAGGTTTCAGGATGTTTGTAAGCAAGAGTCTTACTGCTTCTACTTCTTTCACAGCTATTTTCTGAAGGAAAGCCATTTTCACAAATTTAAGTGCTCTTTCATGTTTGGTTTCTGTGCTAGATGCCTCTTAGACTTACAGGGAAGGAAAAATGTTTTCCATGGGGAGACTCATTTTTCGGCGTCTAGGGCCTAGTGTCAGTGTCTTAAAAGGACAGACTTAGGTTGGTGGTAACATAGATGGTTTCTTGTTCTGTTCAGCTCTGCATGTTCTCTTTGGGGGCTTATTCCAAAGAAACCATAAGGGCCTGAAGTCAGTGGTTTTTAAGTTGTGTACCCTGAGGATAGGGGATGCTCATGTGTACAAAGCTTCTGCTAATATCTCTTTCTGTATGACTTACAGGGTGTGTGAAACATGTCTGCTTCTGGTTGACTTCCTCTTAACCAGCCCCTTGAGGCTGGAACATGCTCCTGAAGGAGAGGATTTTTCTCTGGGATCCTCCTTGTGAGAACAGTTGTGATATTCTAGGACTCTTGTATGGCCTTGTAGGAAAGGTTAGGGCACAAGTTAAAGCTCCAGCATTTTTCCTTCCTGGCAAGACCACTCTTTTCCTCTGATCCTGGAGCCAGCAATTAGTTTCCATCTGCAACTGCTCCTCGAAATGCAGTATCTTGTGGTTGCAGAGGCACTTGTTACCTGTCCTATGTGTCTTGTCTTTATTTTTGGAATCCTTGGCTGAAATGCAGGGCAGGGGCTCTGAAATAACACACTTATGGACTCTGTAATAGAAAATTATTTAAGTGCCTTGCATAACCATTTGTATAATGTCACATAGGCACTGCAGATACTGTCATACAACAGCCCTTCTTAAACAAGTACAGGTAAGTAACCCACAATGTTGCTTTCAAAGGGCAAGCTGAGTTAAAGCAATATAATTTCAATTAAGTTAAAGCTCTATCTCTCTTAGCCAAATTCATTTCCTAGAAGGGCAGCTTCATATTTAGATTGAACATAAAGATTTTATTTTTCAGCTTAAGTTCAGCTGGGCTTAGACATAGTTAAAATAAAAAAATATTCTTCAGTAGAAGGAAGAAAACATTTGCCTGCTATCATGTTAGTCTGATATTAAATCCTTTTTTTGCCAGTTGAGATTCCAGTTTTGTCCTTTACTAAATAAATAGAATACAAAATGAATGCTTTTTACATATGCACAAGTCCGTCTAGCTACTTGCTCAACATCTCTCAAAAACTTTATACAGGTCAGGCAGGTTAGCGAGCTGCAGGATGTTGCCATCTTCTGCAAGGTGCTTAGGAGGCAGCAGATGAGTCCTGGAAGCCTTGAAAATTATGTGTTCCACTGCCCACTTCCAGCCCGTTGAGCCGGAGTCAGAATCTTCAGCCTGAAATACAGGGGGGGAAAAAAGGCAAAACTCATTCCCTCGCACTAAAGGTGAGCAGCTTTTCAACTTGAGTAATAAAGAACTTACAGCGAGTATACAAGTTCTTCTAGTATTACAGAAAAGGTTTGTTTTATACAATCAGATTACTAAGTTCTGGATACTCTTTTTAGTGGTATCACAGGCAGAATTAGTTAACTTGACTGAATGGTTAGTTGGTTAGCCAGGTACTTGCCCTAACCAGATTGTGTCTTAAAAGTATACTTGCATCTTTATTCTACAGAAACGTATCCCAGGTTTATTTATTCCTCAGCAGGTTAAAAACACCCTGGCCTCTAAGAAGCCTCAAGCTAGTGCAGAGGTGCATATGCTACAATACACAATGCTACAGTTCTTCAGATCAGCTAAGCCAT